TTAATATATTATATATATATATATATTATATATAAATAGATATATATAATATATATATTATTATATATATTATATAATATAATATATATATATATATATATATATATATTATATATTATATATATATACTAATATGTACGGTTAGTAGGTTGGTAGACAGGCAACCACCCAAGGGAAGCCCGCTACTACCGTACCCGCCCCCCCCCCCCCCCAGCAATTGACTGTGAATGTGAAACACACGAAACTCGCTAAAACAGTGTGTTTTAATGAATGGTAGGAGTTTGACTAGTTTTTCTTTTTCTGGTCTCAATAAAACACGCTAGTTAACAGGTATATCTTGTACTCCTACTTAACACTTTGGTCACACTTCACAGGCACGCAAATGCATATATATATATACATACATCTAGGTTTTTCTCTTTTTCTAAATAAGCTCTTGTTCTTTTTTATTTCTTCTATCTCGTCCTGTGGGGAAGTGGAAAAGAAATCTTTTCCTCGTAAGCCATGCGTGTCGTATGAGGCGACTAAAATGCGGGAGCTAATGGGCTAGTAACCCCTTCTCCTGTATACATTTACTAAAAAAGTGAAGAAGAAAACTTTATAAAACTGCCGGTTGCTCTTAAATGTGCGTGGGATGTAGTGCGGATGCAGAAACAGAATGATTTGCTGATGTTGTATGAATGAAAAAGATTTAGGAATGTGGGCCCTAAGCTCGAAACAAAGTGAAGGGGTGTGGCGTATGGTGAGTTTCTGTGGGGGGAAAAAATGGATTAAATCTGTTAGGAGTATCTGAGAGAGTTTGAGCAATAGGATAGGGGGAGCAGTCAGTAATGTTAAATGATCAGTTATGTGAAGGAGAAGAAAAAGAGATATGAATGTGTAAATTCAAGGGAATATATGTGGATTAAAGTAAAGGTTGGATGCGAGAAGTGGGTCATAATAATAGTGTTGATATGCAGACCACTGTGGTAAGAGAAGAGTAGACTAATTGCAGAGGAGAGAGAGAGATTTTGGGAGAGATGTTAAGTGAAATGTATAGGAGCCTTTGAACTCCAATATGACGAGAGTAATTGTGGCTAGGGGACCTGGGAATGCTAAAGTAGGAGAAAACTCCGTTAAGAGAGGGATGTGGAGGTAAGTTTGGGGTGCCAGGTGTAAAGGATAATTTGGGAGCCCTTTGATTGAACTTTGTATATGGAAAGGGTGAGGGTTTATTATAGGTAATACATATCTTTATGAGAAAAAGAGGTTTAAAATAAGTAAACGATATGTCTGTAGGGCGAAATCGACAGTAGTTTGTTTGGATTATTGTATTGTAGATAAAAACTGTTGAGTAGACTTCAGATCTGTACATGTTTATAGAGGGGCCACAGAATTATCAGATCAATTTCTAGTTGTAGTAACTGAGAGTAAAAGGTTTAGTTAAGATGGGATACAAGAAGAATAGAAGCATCAGGAAGATGAGAGGTGGAAGGTTTATAACTAAGAAAGAGGAGGCAGTTAGGGTAGATTAAACAGTATTGGAGGATAGTGGGCTAATGAGGAGCTATAGGCAATGGGCGCGGGTCGAAGAGGTATGGGCTAGGTTTAAAAATGTTAGTGTTAGAGTGTTCAGCAAGAAGTTTGTTGGTTACAGGAAAGTGGGAATTGCAGGAGGGGTAGAGGAGCGATTGGTGGAATGATGATGTGTAAAGAGAGTAGTAAGGGCAAGAAAATAGTTAAGCATATGGAAGTTTTACAAAGTAGAAGTGATTGCAAGGAGTGGAAGAGTTATGGAGGAAAAAGAGAGAAGTTTAACGAGAGTGGTGAAGCAATGTAAAAAGAGAGCATAATTGAGAGATGTGGGTGAGGATGTTAATCAACAATTTTGTCTGGAAAATAAGAAAAAGTTGTTGAGTGAGATTAACAAGTTAGAAAAGCCTTGAGAACAAATGGCGATTTGTTCAGTGTTAAATAATAGGTGAGGAGAGTTATTAAATGGAGAGTTAGAGGTATTGGGAAGATGGAGGGGAATATTTTGAGGAATTGTTAAATGTGATGAAAGATAGGAAGCTGTGATTTCGTGTATGGGAAGGAGGAAAACATCTATGTAGAGTGAGGAAGAGCCAGTTGTGAGGTGTGGGGGGAAGTTCGTGAGGCAGAGTAGGTAAAATGAAAGGGGGTAAGGCAGCCGGGATTGATGGGAGAAAGATAGAAATGTTAAAAAGCTGGTGGGGATATAGTTTTGGAGTGGTTGGTGCAATTATTTAATAAATGTATGGAAGAGGTAGGTACCTAGGGATTGGCAGAGATACATGGCATAGTTCTTTGTATACAAGCGCAAAGGGGGATAAAAAATGATGTGAGTGCAAAAATTATTGGGGGTTATAAGTCTGTTGAGTGTACGCTGGTAAGGTGTATGGTTAGTGTTATAATTGAAAGAAATTAAGAGTAAGCGGAGAATAGGATAGAGCATGAAACAAGGAGGCTGTAGGAGAATGGTAGGGGGGTGTGTGGACCAGCTTGTTTACAGTGAAACCATAATAAGGTGAACAGTTATTTAGATAAGGCTAAGAGGTCTTTGGTGGAATTTTATGGATTTGGAAAAATGCGTATGAACAGGGTGGATTGGGGATGGCAATGTGGCAGATGTTGCACAGTGGATAGTCGGTGTAGGAGGTAGGTTTACTGAAAGCAGTGAAGAGTTTTCTACGGAGGATAGGTGAAGGCTCTCAAAGTTAGCAGTATGTAGAGAAAGGGGAAATTTTTTCCCAGTAAAGAGTAGGCCTTCTCGTAGACAAGGAGTGTGATGTCACGTGGTTGTTTTAATATATTTATAGATGGGGTTGTAAGAGAAATGTAAAATGCGAGGGTTCTTGCCAAGAGGCGTGGAGTTAAAAGATAGAGGAATCACACAACAAAATGGGGAGTGGTCACACGCTGCTCTTTTGCCTTGAACCATGGTACACTGTCGCTCTTGGGGAGATTCTGAGAGGAAGTTCGCAGAGGGCTCTTGGTGGATGAATTTGGATTAGGTAGGGTGTTGCAAAAGAAGAAAATTAAAGGTGAATTACAGGAAAGGAGTAAGGTTATGCGGAAATAACAAAAAGTTTAGGTGATGAAAGAATTGAATATCAGTTTGGAGGAAGAGAGAGAGTATGGGAGGAGGTGTAAAGTATTCAGATATTTGGGAGTGGACGTGGGGTCGTCAGCGGATGGGGTCTATGAAAGATGAGGTGAACCATAGAAACTTGATGAGGAGGAAAAAGATGTGATGTGGAGCACTTAGGAGTCTGTGGAGAAAAGAACTTTGTACCTTGGAGGCCAAAGGGAGGGTGGGGGGGGGAAGTATGAGAGTATAGTTTAACCAACGCTCTTTATATGGGTGTGAAGCGTGAGGTGATGAATGTTGAATCGAGAGTGAGAAGGATGTGACGGCCAGTTGGAGTTGTCATGTCTGAGGGCAATGTGATTGGGTGTGAATATAATGCAGAGAATTCGTAGTTTGGAAGTTAGGAGAGGTGCTGGGGATACCAAAAACTGTTGTCCAGAGGAGTCTGAGGAAGGGTTGTTGTGTGGTTTCGGACATGTAGAGAGAATGGAGCGAAAACAGAATGACACTTCAAGAGTGTATAGTCTGTAGGGAAGGACGGCGGGGTAGGGGTCGGCCTCAGGAAGGATTGGGAGGGAGGGGGTTTAAAGGTGGTTTTGTGGCTGATGGGGCTTGGACTTCCTTAGCGCTCAGCGCATAGAGTGCAGCATGTTTGATAGGAGTGAATGGAGACAAAAATGGTTTTTAATACTATGAGTGTATGATAATATAAATAATATTTAAATATATATTATAATATTATATATATATATTATTATATATATAGATAATATATATATATCTATATATATATATATTATTATAGATATATTTATATATCAAAACAGTTCGTCGATCTGTCAATCCTTCGATCTCCAGCCCAGCACAATTATAATACTGCAGTCATTATGCAGTACCAAAATCAAGAACATGCTTTTCATTAGGGGAGATTATGTTGAGACTGCTTAAATCTAGAGATACATTTTAAAGATTCTGCTCACCCTGAAGGTTACTTCTTTCATCGTTTTATGACATCTCTCTCAGTGTCACGGAATAAGTTCATATTCGACTGTATAAATTCGGGTGGAGATTTATTTATAATTGTTTACTCATCTAATTATCAGGTTTGTCGACATTTGTCTAGTAAAAACAGAGATTGTTATGCCAATACCGTTATGGTATGGAAGATCAATGGTTGAGTGGCTTTGGTGTTGTAGAAGAAACGTATGTTACAGTGGTGAGCTTGAGGGTGGAGGTGAGGATGTACAGTCCTGGTTGTAAGTGCCCTGCATCCACGATACACCCAATACTTGCCAGGTTTTCTAACAACTGTTAGTGGTGTTAATCTTTGTCAAATGGACGTTTAAAAATGCTGGAAAAAATCCTCTAGAAACAAACGTTGTATTGGATCCGGACTGTATTTGTGTATGTGCACAGTAACGTAGCAGCTTCATATTTCAAGTTGAATTGGTGTTGTGTATTATACATTATACAGTTTTATCACAAAGGAGAAGCTTGTCTGCTGTGGTTAACATTAGTTTTTGGCTTAATGGTCTACTGTTAATGCTGCACACAATATTAACTTTTTTTTTACTATTCTGTACTCAAACTTTCCAATTTAATACATTTAAAACGAACATGTTTCGTGAACACGTATTGTCTGAGCAACTTGTGTTCCAGCTGTAATAGGTTCATTTGTTGTATTTTATCATGCGCAGTGTCCTAGAAAGGTATATTGCATTTCTCGGTAGGTCTGTTATTCCACATATCTTGCCCAAAATTTTGAATTAACACAAGCAAGACCTTACATTATTCTACAGTGGAAGGATATATTTTTCTCCCAAACAACATATTTCCATCTTTTCATTTATTCTGTGTTAAATATCCAACTAATAATGTATATTAATTTTTATTTATATGTGACTCACAGAGTGCAGCATCAACCCTGTGTGTGATGAAGGCTACGGAGTGTGCAGAGAGTTTTGTTTGAAGGAGGAACTAGAGGTGAAAGATGGATGTGGTGACTCTGCTTGCAAGTGCTGCTCATCTCGTCTGGCCACCTGCAATGCCTCTAATAGCTGTTCTGGCATCTGCACAGATGTTAGAACGTGTACTAATCCTTTGGAAACAACTGCTCTGGCTTGAACTGTGTGTGTTGTGATAGTAAGTAACTGATCAGAGTTATGATGGTGATGTAGCTACAAACGAACAGCTATGTTAGTGGTGGTTTCGGGTGCTGCTGAAAAACAGAGCTACAATGGTTGGTGCGAGTGCAAGAACGGAGCTATATGTATAATGTCCTCTAGTCTAAACATGAGTTATTGACCTAGAAAACACTCATTCACTCATTAAAGTTCATCTGGTTTAAGTGTATAAAGAGGAACAAGTGTCTTTGAAAAACAAGGTAATATGGAAGGTAGCAGACAAGCTCGTGAAGTGTGGGTAGTAAGAGTGAGGTTTGAATAATACTCTTATGATGATTTAATTAAACACTTGGAGAGTCTTACTTATGGTATTCCTGTGAGATCGATGGTAGCTTTTAAAAAAATATAGGCATTTTGGTAAAATGGTAGGCTTATAGGAAAGACAGTAAGTCTGTAGGGAAAAATGGTGGGCCAGTAATCAAGATTGTAGGAAAGATGGTGTTCTTTGTAGGGAAGATGTGAAGTCCTACAGAGATGATGGAAAACCTGTAGAAAAGTGGTTCATTGTATAAGAAAGATGCCTGTAACTGCGATTGTAGGCCTATAATTTTGACAGTTCCAGTAGTAGTAAATGTGTGGGTTGAAGGAGAAGATGCTGATGTTAGGCATAGCTGTGATAAGATGGTAGGCATATAAGAAAGACGGTTGAATAATATGGAATATGGTAGGCCTTTAGGTAATATACCTCTTCAAGGGGGGCTCCTTGGCGTGGTGAAGAGGCTCTTTGAGGAATTTGACCTGTTGGTCTCCTTCCTCAGACCGAACTTAATTACCCCCCAATCCCCCTTTCCCTATCCCATCTTTCCCATCCTCCCTTTTCCCTTTCCTCCCCCTCCTCCCCGTCCCTCCCTTATTTCCTTCCTCTTTTTGACCTTTGGGATCCTTCGACAGGCACGCTGGTTCCTAGGTAAGGGAAAGGGTACCGGGATCCATCCCATTCCATTGAGGTTCATGAGGGTGGTGTAGTTTGCTGTGGAATCTGGATCGCCTAGGAATGTCCCAATCCCTCTCCGGTCTCCTGGAGGGTGGCTTTGGGTGTCTTTCGGGCGACGGGTGTATCTCTGGAGGCCTCCTTTCAGATTCCGGGGGTGGTGACCAAAGGAGGAATGATTTGTGGTGGATATCCGACCGCCCTCTCTTTTGTCCACTGAGGTAGCTCGGCAGATGTGAGGTTGCTATCCTGGATTGCTGGTCTACTGGCATGAAGGGTAAGGTATGGCACGGGTTCCATGCTGCATCTGCGCTACTTGCGGTGCTGAGGTCCTCTTGGGCGCAGAGGGAGAATTTCAGCCCTTTCATTCCTCCTAGGAATTATTCCTCCCCGTTCCCCATTTTTTTATTACTTTTTTATTTTTATTTTCTTCTTTCTTTTTTCCTTAAAAGCAAAAAGAAAGAAGTAACCTAACCATGGAGGACCCAATCCATGAACCTGCTACCCCCGGGCCCTTTCTTGATACTGCACCCATTCTGACCCCTGCCTCGCTTTTTGACCACTCTTCAGACACTTCTAATGCCCCTATACCTCTTGCTGGTGCTGTTTCATCACCCACTTCAGGTACCGTTTCGACTGACTCCTTCGATTTGCCTGACTTCCGCTCTCCTTTGACTATGCTGCCAGCCTCTCCCTCTACGGTGTGGGCAATTTTTAGAATCCCCAGCCCTCCCATGTCGGACCAACTCTGGTCCCACTCCTACATGCCAACGACAACTGCCTAATGATACTTCTTCGCCACCTTCTCGTTCTGCTCAGAAAAGATCGACATGTCATGCGCTCCCTTTCCACGCTCAGTTTTGGAATGCACAATGGACTAAATTCTTTACTTTACGACCGACTTCCTCTATTGCCTATCTTTCCGACCATAATATTGGCAAGGCACTCCTATGCCATGTTGGTAGAGATACTTCCTTTCACACTCTCAAGAGCGGTACCCACATCATCCCTGTCCAGAATGCCACTCAAGCTCATGATCTTTCTCTTCTTTCGCATATCGGCACTATTCCTGTCACTATCGAAAAACATCATTCCCTCAATTCTTGTAGTGGTATAGTCATTCTGCCTCATACCATAGTCCAACAGAATTTCCAGACGTGGCGATGACATTCTTGAACAGCTGGAACTCCAGGATCTCCCAATCCTCAAAGTAGACACTTGTGTTCTTCCTGCTCACGGGCGGAGACGATACTCTTGCAATGTAGCTCGATTAACTTTCGACAGCTGTGAACTCCCATCCTCTGTTTATGTAGCAGGACATCATTTATGAGTTCGAAAGGTGATCCCTACACCACAACAGCATAGAAATTGCTGGCGATTTGGTCACCCAGCAAAATATTGCAGATCTATAGCCGAATGCCTAGTCTGTGGTGCTGATGACCATTCTAATAGTCTTGTAGTCGACCTCCCTTGCCTTAACTGTATGAGGCTCACCCTTCATACTCAACTTTTCCAGGTCTACTTAAATGAGGGGAGAAATCCGTTGCCTCAAACTGGCAGAAGGTTTTCCCTTACTATGGCAGTTTTTCACACGCCCCAAGGGAGACTACCCCGTATTTTTTATTCTCGTGTTTCTAAACCCTCCCCCCCACCTCTGGGGTCCCATCTTCTACAAACCTCCTCGTGGTTACCCTTTCCATAGTCACTCCTATCTCTAACTCTTTTTTCTGTCCTGGGCTCAGAAGTCTCTACCTCAATAACTCAGTCTACTCTCACTTCTTCATGTTCTCCCTCACAAGCCCCGGTATCGACAAGACCTCGTACGACACATCATACCAAAACGCCTCTCTACTTCTCAGAAGTCCAAAAAAAACCTCTTTGCTCAAATCTCCTTTAAACCCCTCCTACCCTTTCCACCTCCAATTTTTCCTTTTCAATCTCTGTACCTGGTTTCTTCCCCTCTCACTGGCTCTGTTACAAGTGTGAAGGTTCACTCTCCTCCTCGTACTATGCCTTCCTCCCAAGTTTTTCCTCTTCTGCCACCTCCCAGGTTTCTGCCTCTTCTGTCTCCTCTCACACTTCTTCCCAGTTCCCTCCACCCTTTTGTCCCCCCCTTTCTTTGGTACTGTCCCATCTGTAAACTCGCCTCCTCCTTCCATCCCAGTATTGTTTCCCATGAAGTCTTTGAATTCTGAAACACTTGAAACTACTCAATATATTGCAGAGACTAAACCATCAATGGACACTGACCCTCCCTGTCCTTCTCTTCCTTTCCTCCATCTGCGCAACTCTTTCTTCACAGCGGGTCCTGTTCCTTCGCTACTTGAAGTTTTCTGCTGCACCATAGGTGGACTTTTGCCCCCTATCCATAGTACCCTTACTGCAGATTCTGGTATCTTACCGTTGCCAATCATCCTTTTTTAAAACGGCCCTTTTTTAAAACCCCCTTTTTTCCCCCTTTTTTTTTCTTCAAAAAAAATTTTTCTTTTTCCCCTTTTCCCCCCCTTTTTTTCTTTAAATTTTTTT